GTGGAAATGATGCTTTCTTATATTTTGCAGTGGTTTCCAGTTATACGACTAGCTCTATTTGGGAACTGACTTAATTAAATGTGTCCCATGATTGCACCTCTTTGAGAATCTGAAGAGAGTTATGGACCCTTCTTACAGAAAAATGAACTTACCAGCTTGACATATGTCTCTCTCTCTCTCTCTCTCTCTCTCTCTCTCTCTCTCTCACACACACACACACACACACACACACACACACACACACACACACACTTCAGGGAGTCCCCAGCCTTCAACGTGTAACAGTAACACGTTCCCTCCAGGGCTGTAGTCTGAAAGTGGCAGGTCTAGGTTCCTGAGTAGGAGGAGATGGCGCCTGGTCAGAGCCTAAGCTGAAATATGGTGCTTCTGGCCACCCATGCACCACGACAAAACAGAAGTGGGCAGGAGAAAATGTACCAACCCTCCCCTTAGGAAATGCCTTGAACCACTTCCCATTTCTACCTTTCCCAGAAATCACAGGGAGTCAGGCCAATTCAGACAAAGTCCACCAGTCCCATGGACTTGTGCCTCAGTCAAGGGGAGGGCACCAAAGGAAGTCACCTTCATTCCAAGTCCCTCTGTGGTCCCCTCCCCATCCTTCCAGCCAGTGACAGGCAGAGCCCACTGGCTGCCACTCTGAGGACCGTGCCGGTCAGAAACCAGCTTTCACCAACTGAGAGTAGCCCTCCAAGATATTCTGAATGTGTTGGGATGGGTGATGGAAGCCCTGGTCTGAACATGCTGCAGCAGCTTTCAGCAGTTGTGTCCGAATCTCCTGGCAGCCTTTTCAGGAAAGTCTTAGCCTCAGCCTACTGTCCTCCTAGACCTTTCGAGGGAAGGCAGAGGTGGCCAAGGCCAAGGGGAAATGTAGATTTAGAACTCTGTCAGAATGATCTAAATTATGGGAAATCTCACTGTGGGCTGCTGCCACCCCTGTCAGCATGCTTATGTGACATCCTACTCTGTTGATTTGCATGTAAAATACAGCCCTGAAACTGACCAAGTTATGTCAAGCTGACAAGCATAGTGATGTGCTCTATGCTGGATTATCAGAGACTCATCTCTTATGTGGAATGTTTTCTGCAATTAAGAAATTAATTTATCATGGTAGTACGCTTTCTAATTAGGATTTCTTTGGAAGAAGTGTCCTTTATTCTGAGGTGAATAGCTTTTACATTTTTTGAGTTGAAATGTCCTTTTCTAAACCATCGTGGTGATGTTAGAGTTTTTAAAATGTTCTTCTTTGCAAAAATTAAAAGCCAGCATACCAGTGTCAGTCCCTCAAATCATTTGGAAATTCTGCTGGGAATTTTCAGAAAATCCAAATAGCTGGAAACCACTGGGCTAGCCCACTGAGGGTTACAGTCCTTTAACCCCTGACAGTGGGAAATGAAACGGGAGGCCCCTTCTGCCTCCTATCCTCCCACGGAGTCCAGCAACTTTCAGCAGATGCACTTCGGTGGGTTGCAGGTTCCCTGTTCCAAATGTGGGGAGACGGGTTTCTGGCCCCACCCCTTCCCAGGAGTGTTCTAAGGATAAGATCTCATGTACTAAAGAACTTTGGGAAAGATGGAGCTCTATAAATACATGAGATTACTGCTCTCACATAGACAGCTGGTGTGTTTTCGGTGGGAAGGGCTGAATGATCCCACAGAGACCCAGGACAGTTTCTCTGCCAGAGTATCTGGGGAAATGACCAACATCGGTTATAAAACGTGCAAACTGTCTACTGACAAGTGGGGCCAGACGGCGGAGGAGTGGGCCTCCAGAGCTTCTTGCCTCCCTCAGAGGGCGCGGGTCCAATTCGCAGCTGGAATTCAGGGACACTTGAGTTCTAGTTCATGTTTCAGGGACACACACCCTAGGGACCTATCACAGTCACCTAACCTTCTCTCACTTAAGTTTTTTCATGTCTAGAAAATGCAGATGTTTGCTTAGTATTCTTTTATTTCTTTTTCTATTCTTTTTTTTGAGTTGGAGTCTCACTCTGTCACCCAGGCTGGAGTACAGTGGTATAATAACAGCTCACAGCAACCTTGAACTCTGGGACTCGAGTCATCCTTCTGCCTCAGGTTCTCTAGTAGCTGGGACTACAGGCATGTGCCACCATGTTTCACTAGTTTTTTTTTCAGATATGAGGTCTTGCTGTGTTGCCCAGGTGGGTCTTGAACTCTTGGGCTTAAGCAATCCTCTTGCCTCAGCCTCCCTAAGTGCTGGGATTATAGGCATGAGCCATCATACACGGCCTGTCTTCTTTTCACAAGGGTGTTACAGGCTGTGAGAAAATGCATTCCCAGATACCTCACTTGATAGATTCCCTACTGCTAATGTTTAATTCCTGGCACTCTGCATCCTTTTAAAAACAATATGAGATTTTTATTGTTTTTGATGCTTAACTCCAGAAGAGCGTTCCCTATCATTGCACCCCAAATCACATCTGCAGGTCATTCCCTTTGACATAGGTGAAGAGGTGCACAGAAAATAGAAAATAACTTTGGCCAGGCATAGTGGCTCATACCTATAATAGAGCACTTTGGGAGGCCAGGCAGGAGGACTGCTTGAGCCCAGGAGTGTGTGACCATCCTGGGCAACATAGTGAGACCTCACCTCTATTTTTAAAAAAGAGAGAGCAGGGCATTGTGGCATGCACCTGTAGTCCAAGCTACTCCGGAGACTGAGGTGGAAGGATCTCCTGAGTCCAGGAGGTCTAGGCCATGGTGAGCTGTGATTATGCCACTGCACTCCAGCCACAACAGAATGAGACACCAACTTAAAAAACAAAGTAAAAATCGCTTCCAGGCAGAGACCTGCAGTGACTCACCCACCCAGCTCTGCCTAACCTCCAACTTGGGAGCTAAGACCCCATGGTTGTGTCAGGGAACGGTGACAGAGGTGGACTTGATGCTTTGACCACACTAGACCTAGGTCCAATACATCCCAAACCACAGTGTCTGGTGACTTGTGCATGCTGGTTCCCTTCCTTCTCCTTGTAGCTGAGAATTAACTACAATGAAAGCCCTTTGATCTCTGAAAACCTGAGGATCAGGCCGCCCAGGTGGGCGACCAACACTTTTGTTGGAACTTGTCTGGTATTTCACATTTATCAGCCCTATTACAAGCTAACCGTGTTACTGACTTCAGTCAAATGTGGCAGTCTTGGGTCCTGTGATCCTGCAGGTAAGCATGCCACCCTAAGCAGGCTGGCAGCTTACATTTGAAAACATTGCCAGCTACCCTTGACTTGAGCAGAACAACTCCTGGAGAGCCGTCCTCCCATGTGGGTTCACCATGGAGCCTACTGGGGCAGGAGCACAGGTGAGAGGAGAGCAGGGCAGCCTCCAACACCGCTTCCTGCCTGGCTGTGGAGTCAAAGCCCCGTCTCCTCCCCGTCTTCACCTGCCGGCACTCCCAGCTCAGGCTTCACCTTGCCCAGACACCTCCCAAGTTTATCCTTGGATTTCTGAGAGGCAACGATTGTTGCTATTTCCCCATCAGAGAAGTATTAGTTAGTTCCACTTAAGTCTGAACTCCCAATGTGTTCATAGTGTGTGGCACCCAGGAGGAAATGTTAGACAAACGGGGAGGGGCCTGAAGGAACACTCCAGAACAGGGATCCCAGCACACCACTGGACAGGTGTGCTCTATGGCCATTTCTCTAGGGTCATGCTGAGAGCTGAGCTGAGCTGTATCTTGCTCACGGTGACAGTACTAGGCGTTTTTGAGACTGCTTGTTGGGAACGGCAGGGGGAGAAGTGGAGGGAATTGATCTGAGCTGGGAAGGTGGCTCTTCTTCAAACAGGCCTGGATGCCAACTGCTTGCAGGCCTCTGACCCCAGAGCAGGCTCTAACCACCTGACCCATCCACAGAAGGCAGTTCGGAGGAACTAGATATCTAGCAGGGAAGAAGCTACCTGATGCAACTTTCAGGATGAAAAAGAGGGGAGGGGGTGGAGGAAGGAAGGAAGCTGGGCCAAGTGCACTGAAAGCCTCTTCTCTCGAGGAGGAGGGGCTCACAATGAGAGGGGGCCCTTGGGGGCAGGGCTGCAGCGACACCTGGGCCCCAGAGAGCGAGGAGCCAGCGAGGCAGGAAGGAGGCCGGGCTCCCATCTGGAGAGCCAGGGGGCTGGGGCTGGCGAACAGATGGCGGAACGTCGCAGCTGGTGGAAATGCACTTTCATGTGTAAAGTTGGGTCCTCAGAGGATTGCGATGTCCCACTCCGAGGCAGCAGTGGGCAGGTGGCTCTGCTCTACACTCCGCCTTTTCCCCCTGTTGCCACCCAGACAACTCGACAGCGGCTGTGCCAGGGCTCAGCCACCATGCCTGCCGCCAGCACCCCTTTCAACAGGCAGAAGCTGGCATGGTGACATCTTGGCACAGCCAGGATGGCAGAGGACTGCAATGCTTTGGCAGCTGAAGGAGGCAGGGGAGTGGGGGGGTTAATCCAGCCTCCCTGGGTGGGCACCAGGTAGGGCTGAGAACAGACGGAGAGAGTGGGAGGGAAGCAGGAAAGCACTTTCCAGACCTTCCAGCATGTCCACAATATAGGCACTGGCCTACACTCTTGGCTGAGCCCGGCTGAAGGGAGTAAGGAGAGGGGAACTGGGAACATGGCAGACCCCAGGCTCTGCTGCATTTGACCCCAACCTCAAGAAACGTTTCTTAAGGACAGAACATCATTTTTGTGAAATATCTGTTCGTCAGAGCTTTAGGAGATCAGGTGACTTTTCCATTTCCTGGCTCTGACAGCCAGCCACCCGCCTCAGCACACTTAGAACCTCACCTGGCAGAACAGGCTGCAAGCATCCTACCATCTCTTCAGGTTCCTCCCTGGAAGCTCAGGCTTGGGGAGAGCTGCTCCCCAGGCATACTGACCACACCCAAAAGAGGATGCTTGGCTGGCGGGCACCAATGGATACCCTGTCCTCTCTGTTTGCCAGACTGTGCTCCAGGGCACGGAGCACAAAACTACCAGTGCCAGCTTGTTAAAATCCAAGCACTTATTTTAGAAGATGTGATTTTGCTTTGTTTATTTTTTTTAAAAAAAGACGAGAACTCAGTCCCTTGTCCCTAATAGTCCATCTTCCCAAGAGATGTCACTGTCTGAGATAATAACTTAAAGGTTCTTGATATGGAGGTAGTCTCTCTCTTCCTAGTGGGATGTCTTCTTGGCACCTTTCCCAAACTTGGCATCAAGACCAAGACCTACAGGAAGGAGAAAAAGGGCTCAGCTTTATTGGGGGAATGAAACCCACTAATGCTTGCGGTGGGGGTAGTCAGCCTTGGTTCTCCAGAATCGGGATTTTAAATAAAATAAATACAGCAAGACTGAAAGAAACTTAGGGTCAAAGCATCCAAGCTATTTCTCTCAGCCCATCCATAGCAGCAGTTAAACCAACAGAGGATATGCAGAATAATTCTGTGCTGCTCAAGGTCTGGAAAAATCCAAGTCACTGGAAGGAAACTACTAGGATGAAATGCACATTAGGAAGCCTGGGTTAGAGATTATGCTCCCTTTGCTCTTTTTAAAAAGTCTTCTCTAAAAAAAAATTATAAAATAAAATTTGTAAATCAATTTCTTAAATACACGAGTAAATCTTCGGGGGAAAAATACAGCTGTCACTGTCCCTGTGTGTGGCCACTTACCCAGGAACACCAGCACAGTGCCCACCCACTGCATGGAGCTGATGGGGTTGGCAAAGAGGATCACGGAGGCCAAGATGGTGAAGAACTTGCGTGTCGTGGTGATAATGGAGCAGGTCAGGGGACCGAAATACACAACCGTCATGAAGATAAAGCTCTGGAGACAGAGAAAGGTGGGTAGGGTGGGTCCTGGGTGCCGGCTGAGGCCTAAAGTCTGCAGTAGACTCGGCTAATCCTGCCACCCCCTTCTTCCAACCAGGCCTGTTCCTTAGGAACCGGCTGCCACAGCAGAGAAGCCAGGCCATCCCCTCTCAGGCACTCACCTGACCAAGGGCACTGGTCAGACCGAAGAGCAGGATGTTGTAGATGATGGAAGGGTACCTTTCAGCAAAGCTCAAGAATGCCCAGAGCTCCCCAGTGAATAGGATTCCTGGGGAGAAAGGTCCAAAGAGGAATGGTGCATCTTGTGGGCCATACTCACGCATATGTGCAAGCACACACACACGCACACACATGCACACACATACACACACTCCTGCACATGGCCTGTTAAAGTACCAGGGGGGTGTGTGGGAAATTGCACGGAGTGGTCTGTACTGTTTCATCCTACAACCTTTTCACATTTTTCTCTGATTGGAAAGACTAAAAAACTTGACTTAAAAGCTAATGAGGTCCTTCTACCAAAGTGACTGGAAACAGAGGCCCTAAGATGCTGCCCCACCCAACCCCAGCTCAAGGTGGCCCCTGGTGTTGGTCCCGCCAGCCATCAGCAGCCTCCTCCACCGGCTCTGTGTGCTGTACAAAAAATACTTTTGCCGGGCTCGGTGGCTCAGCCTGTAATCCCAGCACTTTGGGAGGCTGAGGCGAGAGGACTGCCTGAGCCCACGGGTTCAAGACCCGCCCGGGCAACTTGGTGAGCCCTCATCTCTATAATAAATAAAAAACTAGCAGGGCATGGTAGCGCACGCCTGCAGTTCCAGCTACCTGGAAGGCTGAGGTGGAAGGATCGCTGGAGCCCAGCAGGTCAAGGCTGCGGTGGCCGGGAGCGGCCACTGCACTCCAGTCTGGGCGACAGAGTGAGACTCCGACTCAAAAAAAAAAAAAACAACCAAAAAAACTTTTTACATGTGTCCAAATCAGAAATGTCAGGAAGCAGCCGGGCTCAGTGGCTCAGCCTGTAATCCCGTGCCTTTGGGAGGCCGAGGTGAGTGGATTGCCTGAGCCCGCGGGTTCGAGACCCACCTGGGCAGTGAGACCTCATCTCTACAAGAAATCAAAAAATCAGCCGGGCGTGGTAGCGCATGCCTGTAATTCTGGCTACATGGAAGGCTGAGGTGGAAGGATCGCCGGAGCCCAGCAGGTCGAGGCTGCGGTGGCCGGGAGCGGCCACTGCACTCCAGTCTGGACGACAGTGAGACTCCAACTCAAAAAAAAAAAAAAGAAATGTCAGGAAGCACTGATGTCAAAGCCAAAGCATGTGGGCCTAGACTGCATTTATGAAAACCCAAGTCTGTTTCTGGAGAGCACTCTACCTGGGTCTCGTTTCCCTCACGAGAGGGAACGTGACCAGAGACCTACATGCTTTACTACTGTTGTCTGCCTGGGACACCTTGTGCAGGTCTGTTCCCTATCACGCCTGTAACAAGCAGCAAGCGAATCCTGCTGGTGCAGGATTTTCCAGGGATGTTTTTCTGGAGCTGGGACAGAAGGGAATCTTGGACCCACGCAGGCCCTAGGCCTGGGCTAAGTGAGCAACTGGCAGCTTTAGGGCTTGCCTGTATGAGGGCAGTGTGCCCTCTGGTGACACACGGGAAGAATGACAGAACCACTCCTCACCAGCTCCCAGTAGCAATGTCGACCAGAGGTTGATGTTCAACATCATGTGGTTGGAGCCTGTTTGGTAATGCGCCCGCATGTGGTCCTGGGAAACGCCGGTCAGTCCGTCCAGGGTCAGAGACAACAGCTGGGAAGGAAATGGAACAACCTGCAGTGAGGTGGCAGCCAGGGCTCCTCCCTAACCCAGGACACAGGATTCTCACTCTCAGCCTTCGCAGAAAGTCCCTGCCTCCTTAAGACAGAGTCCACAGAACAAAATGTTGCCACTTGATGATGAGGGATGGAGGGCGGGGAGAGACCATGCTCAACCCCCATGCACTGGGCTGACAGGCCAACTGAGCCACACAGTGGTTCTGTAATCAGAGTCAAGCAGAAGGCCTACCACTTTTAGACACAATGCCAAGGCTGGCAAGCAGGGGCCTCAAACAGGCAGCGGAGAGCCACACACATCCCTCCATCATGGCTGGAGAAGGGCAAGCTAGTCCCAGCAGTTTGCTTCCTAGCTGGGAGTGCAGTGCTCCCAAGACAGGATTCTGTGGTCAGACTGCCTGGAATAGAATCCTGATTGCCACTTAAATAGCCATGTGACCATAGGCAAATGACTTAACCTCTTTGCGCCTCAGTGTCTTCATCTGTAAAATGGAAGTAATACCAGCTATGAGATTATTGTTGTAAAAATTAGTTAATATGTAGAACACTTGGAACAGTGTCTAATACTGTATTATTTTTAACTCTGGCTTCCAGGTTTCTTGGAAAGCCACAGTGAGACACACACTATTCCTTCCCTCTTCGCCATTAGGTCTCTGTGGCTTCATAACAGGATTTAGACACGGGTCTCAGCATTATCTCAGCTAAGTTGTAGTTAAACAGCTCAGGTTTCCCACCATGGCCTTAGCAGAGCCAGAAACCCTGCAGCAAAGACTACAAATGAGGGCCCAGGAGCACACACCCTCCCTTGAGCCAGGCTTTCTGCCTCCCTAGGTGGGGCTGTCCTCTGGCTCAGTCTGCGGGACAAGGCTGCCTCCCCCACAGGATCGCATACCAGGAGCAGCTCTCCATAGCCGACCGTGTGTTCTTCCATCCCAACCACCTTCTTGGGTTTGTACATGAAAAGAGCCACTCCAGCCACAATTAGTAACACACACAGGTACTTGGCCAGGGGGTACTTCTTCTTCAAAAGGGTCACCCCAAGAAGCATAACTACAAGGAAAAAACAGAGTGGAAAATTCAGGCACCCATAGGCATTGATGACCCCAATACCCTCCTCTCAGGAGCCAAGAAAAGACTCAGGGTCAAAAGAATGTCTGAGAAGGAAGGCCTAGAGTGGACTAGAGGAGGTGTCAGAAGACTGAGCAACAGAGTTGGGCAAGGAATAAGGCAGGGAAAAGGGAAAGAACAAAGGTGAAAGGTCCAGGAAGGGGGAAGGCAAGGGTGGAGACAGTGGGAGGGATAAGAGGCTGAAAGAAACACAATTAAATGGGATTTAGGGTGTCTGATGACAGTGGAAACACATGGGACCACAAAACGGTTGACCACATGAATCAGACTAGGTCAGTCTCTGGCTCCCACTAAGACTTATCAGCCTGTGCACACCATAGGAAGTGACACAGATGACAGGGTAGGGGGAAGAGCTGGAGGAAAGTCCCTGGAGAAAGCCATGATGGGATGATAAAACCCAGAGGGACACAGAGCGCTAGCAGAGAAAAAAGGAGCTTACTACAGGAAGAGCAAGGACAGAAGAGGGGGACCAGCTTCTTTGCTTACCTGGGATTGGCTTGCAGGATTTACCAAGGACCTGAAATTAAAGTCAGCAAATAATTTCTGAGCATCTGTGTTGTGTGCCAGGTACTGTGCTAGGTACCATGTTGATTAAGATGAGTAATCAACTTAATCTACCACCAGTAAACCCCACTCTGTGGCTCTATACACTCTAAATTCCTCAAACACACTCTCCAGGGCTGTTACCATTTTATTTAAGTCAAAGACCTGAAGGTAGAACCCTTAGTCCTTCTCAAACAATTTCTGAGCCATCCCTCATTCCACCCCGAGGTTTCACCTGAGTTGGGTAGTTGACAAACTGTAGTGCTGAGTTGCTGGAGACCATGGCACCAAGATAAGAGACGGAACAGGCAGCATAGAGCCAGCTCCGAGTACGATCCACCCTGGCAGTGTCAAAAAACTGGATCACTGGGAAAAGACAAAAAAAAAATTAAAAAAAAAAATACAAGAGAAACCTGGTGAGGCTAGGATGGACCACTAAACAAAGCTGAAGCCACATGAAAGGAACTTGTCTGTCAGATAAGATACAAGCTATTTTTGTCCTCTTAGGCTGGGCAATCTGCAAATTATTCAACTCTCCAATTCCACCTAAGCCTAACACAAGACCCCATGCTGGGTGGAAGTGGGGACCTCATTCAGTTCAAGAGACAGTCAACCCTGCTGCTAGTCCCCGGGACACAAAGAGAGAAAGCTCAAAGCATGCTTGAAGCTGACACACAAAGGAAAGTCAAAGGGAAAGAAAAAATGTTTTAAATATTTTCAGTGTAAATCTGGAACACAGAAGACCCATTCTCTGAACATTTCGGACTCAGAAGTTGGCAAAACTTAAGGAAATAATATTTTACCCCATTTCAAAGTCATGAGTTTTATAGGCTGCACAGAGAGACTGTGTGAGTATGAAAGGATCATTGAGTTAGACCTTAAGGTTGAATCGATGCCTGATACCCACGAAACAGAGGGGGCTGGGGGTACTCAATAAATTACTAAGTACTCACAGATCTTGGCAAACACAGCATTGATCACACATTGGATGAAGACCAAAGTTAAGGCAAAGGTGAACGTCTCCTGCTTGGCTCCCTCCCCATACTTTCCTCTTGCTCTAGGAGTGAAATGCATGAGAAAGAGAGGAGAAATTCGTACATTTAATTCACTGTCATCCAGCACATCCAGAGCCACTGAGAACTTTGAAGTTATCCTGCCTCTCTGCAAGTTGGAGTTCCCAAGGACCATGGGGCTCATCTACAAAAGGGTCTGATCTCACTGGATCTGGAAACTAGACATCCCAGGGAAAGAATATCCATAAAGGAAGGAGCTAGAGGAAACAAGGACAATTAGATGGTGAAATGAGGTATCCCAGGCAGGAGAAGAAGGCATTTGGGCTGCGGCAGCAAGGCCGAGAGCGAAAGAACAGGCTGTGTGTAAGAACCTGAAAGTTCCAGAGAGGAACCGACTCAGATCCTGTTTAGGGGTAGAGGTCTTAGCCTGCGAAACTCAAGGAAGCAACGGGGTAAAAGCGCTCAAGGATGAGAAGTAACCGGGTCCCGAGAAGGAAGAGGCCAATTCTGGCATTCTGGAATTTTGGGGCGGCTCAGCCGCGGCTGCAAAGGTAGCGGGGTGCTGGAAAGGCGAGAGCCGGGCGGGAGGACAAAAGGAAAGCCCGGGACCAGGGGTAGGAGCCCGAGAACCGTGCCTCAGGCTGGGGACAGAGGGCAGGGGTGGGGGGCAATGTCTGCGTTCCCGCCCCCGGGGGTCGCTCACATCTTCTCCTGCAGGATCCCATAGTAGAAATAGCAAACAAAGACGCCCAGGAAGCAGAGCGGCAGGCGCAGCCGGTCGGGCACCAGGGAGCTGCTAGAGGCCATGAGACGCCCGGACGAGCCGACCAGAGACCCGCTCACACCCGGCAGCGGCAGCGGCGGCTGAGGCGACAGCTCCAGCCGGACATCGCCGACCGGCGACAGGGGCCTCATAGGAGCTGCATGCGACCGCCTCCCGGTAGGGCCCAGCAGGCACCGCCAGAACTGCCAGCTCTGGGCTGCCGAGGGGAAAACGCCTCAGAGCCCAGCGTCCGTATTCTGGGAAAGAAAAATAGCCCTAGAACCTTGGCCCCATTACCGGGTTCCAGGGGAGCCAGCTGTCTCGAGGTCAATGCCTCGCCGTCGACATTTTTTTTCTATCAGGCAACTCCGAGGACGACTACGACCCGAAGCGCAACGGGGAGGGCTAGCAATACCTGGGCGTGGAATGATGACGTATAATAATGTGGAGGCTGCCAATTGGCTACGCTGTGCGAAGACTGACAGGTGGGAGGGGAAGGAGGCGGTGCGACCGACAGAGCAAATCAAATACAGTAGTCTTTCTCCCGGCCAGCAGCCAGGCTTCTGCTGGGTCTTAAACCGAGAAACTCTTATTGGAGTCTCAGCGCCCTCTAGCTGCTGCTCTGCGTCAGCGACTCTACCCGCTCTTAATCCAGCAGAGCGTTCAAGGTCTGGCTTTTGAGATGGGTCCTCCTCAGGCCCATCACTAGGCTTCCCAGGACAGTGCAGTGGCACAGGAAGGCTCTGCTAGATCACTTAAGCTAGGCTGGATAACCCGCAGGTGTCACCTAGGTACTGAGCCACAGTTCTCCCAGTCTGTAAACTAGGGATAATCTGTACTAGCTACCTTGTCTCCTCTCGACTGTCCTCAGGATCAAATGCTCTGAGGTTGGTGAAAGTGTCTTATAAACTGTAAAGTGTGCTGTGCAAGTTTAAGGTATTATTAGTCATTTCTCTTTCTCAACTCTGGTCTTATTCTTGCACACCCTGGAGGTGGAAATGGAAGCTACTGAAGTGAGTTTTCTTCAAGGTCTTACAACTCCCCAGCAATGCAGTAAATCCTTTCGTTACCCCCCAGAACCTTCCCATCAGTGAGCTCCTCATGGGATGCCTCCCCCATCCAACTATTGGGTCTCCACCTGCTGGCACGAATAGCCAGGGCAAGACTGACCCCAGGTCTTTCCACGACCACCCCAAGCTCCCCACTTAATAGTTGGTCCAAGTCTCTGGCCGCCTGGTGGCCTCTGGGCTGCTCTCTGGGTAGAGGCTCCTGCTTGTCCAGCAGTTTGTTTCTTTGGCACGACCTCAGGCAGAGGAAGGAAGCCCTGGGCAGCACCACACCCATCAGTCCGGGCCTGACTCACTACGGTGCTGGGGGTGAGCCAGACATTTTTCAGGGGGAGGGGTAAGAGAAAGAAGGGTCTGTCCCCAGCCTACTGTCAACTTGATATTAGTGGGGGACATATTTGCCGTCTGCCCCGTGGCTTACCCTCCTGAATCAGCCCATAACGCTGGGACTCTGAACAGCAGCTGGAGTGAGAGACCTGGGTTCTGGTCCTAGCTCTGCCTCTTCACCAGCTGGGACCTCAAACAATTCCCTTGTCTTCTGAGTCAGGTTTCCTCATTTGAAATAAATAAGAATATAATAACATGCAAGAGAACACTGTGGTTAGAAACATGGGCACTGGATTCAAATGCTCAGGTTTCCAATTCTGGCTCCTTCACTTCATATCTGTGTCTTTTAGGGGAAGTCATTCAACCTTTAGTCCTTCCCTCATACAGTGGGACTTACTGGGTGGCCATACTTTAATGACATTTTAGGTAAAGCACTTATCACAATATCTGGTGCTTACCAAGCCAGTGAATGGTAGTTGGAATAGCCTGGTTTAGGAGTCTGTTGTGAGATCTTATGAGACAATTGTACTTTTGGCTGCCCTTGGGGTAGTCAACTTTTCGCCCATGCAATGGGAATAATGTGTCTTTTGTGAGAATGCTTGTCAATTCCAAAGCACCATCAGAATGTTGGGATGGTTATTCCTGTTTTCCCCAAAGCCTAAGAGTTCCCTCAGGTGCAGCACTGCAGAGCCAAGAGGCTGCAGCAGGACAAGCAGTTTCTTTGTACCATCCAAACTGCACACTGCTGTGGGTACTCACGGAGGTGGGAGCAACTCCAAAGGGGCCAGGAGAGTCAACCTGAGTGCTACTCCCTGGTCTCGTTCCCCTTGCTGGTGCAAGGGACACCCACACGTCATCAGATGGCCTCCCCTTGGCCTTCTTCTTTTGTTCTCTGAAACTCACTCTTCCTAGGACACTTTTTCAGCCTGACACGAGAATGGGAAACTTGCCCATCCCACTTCCAGGTTACACCATGCTCTTCATTCTGGACAGCCTTTGCATGGGTCTGCTGTTCCTGTGTCCATGTGAAGTGTCTAAGCATGGTGTCCTGAGACCAGGAGCTCTGTGTCCGTCCATACCCATATGTGTTCCTTCTCTTGAAGACAAGGATCAATATTACACCCTCCATTTCCACCCCACTCCTCCCACCCCAAATATTGAACAGAACTGCAAGCTGCTGGGAATACTTATTTATTTATTTGGTCTATTAACACCAAGATCTGCAAAAAAAAACAACTTCTAAACACGAGATAAGAAAACTCGAACATTAACATTCTTCTTCAATTTTGTGTAAGCTCTGCAGTACGGAAAATATACAAACTTCAAACAGCTGCAAAAATAGTGTCTTTGGGAGAAAATAGAGTTTCTACATCGATACAAGAAAAATAGGCATTTTTCTAATCCAATCTAGCCCAGGGGCAGGGGGAAGGTGTGGTGTCACCATCTGCCCCCTGGAGGAATGCCCGCTCTCCCTCTCCCCACCCACCTGGGGCTGGGCAGGCCGGGCTGCTGCTTAAAACAATCTTTCGTCAGGGTGAAAGCGAGATGAAATGCCACTGGGGAAACACATGGTTCCTCCCTCTGCCAGCAGCTGAGTTGGTCAAGTGTTTGGCCCCTTAGGGCGGCTTTGGTCAGCTCCTCCGAGGGAGGGAGGTGCGGGAGGGGGTGAGGATGGGACCTGTCTTCTGGCCCCTCTTCCGTGACTGTGGAGGACAGGGAAGGAGATCGTGGCGTCCCCACTCCTTCGGTCATGGCCAGCTTGCTCCGTGACAAGAATAAAGGTCTCCTATGCAGTCATCTGACTGACACCCAGGGGGACTGGAGTCCTCTGGGTATGAGTTGTGGGCTTCCCAGTTGCTAGTGGGGAAGGCAGGTCCCCTCACATTTGGGGGGCCGGCGCCCATCGAGAGAGGACCTGGGGCTTTGACACAATAAATGAAAGTGCTCAAAGGCCGAGAGGGAAGGGCTCCTCCATCCCCCACCTCAGGGGAGCCAGGGAGGGGCCTGCCACCAAGGCACTGGTCTCTGTGGTACAGTGGGGGGTGGACCCTCAGACCACCAGGGAGCTCTGGAAAAGCACGGGCTCTTCTGATGGGGGCGTACGCTGCCATGGCTCGAATGGCAATGGGGAGGCTTTGGAGGTCTCTGGATCCTTCCGAGGGGGTGGCCTGGGACTGGCTTGGGGGAGGGGAGAGCCCGGGCTCGAGGGGCAGTTACGGAAAATGAAGCCCATGCTGGGGAAGAGGGGCTTCATCAAGCTGACGGGGCAGAAGGCCGAGCCGGTCGGGTTGAAGTGGACTTTGTTCTTGTCAGGACAGGAGGTCAGAAAGGTCAGGTCAGGACCTGGAGACCTGGAGGATGGCGATAGATACACAGAAACAGCTAATGAGAGAGGGCAGGAGGTATTCCAGCATCAGGGCAGCAGGGCAGCTGGGCCCCTGTTCAGGTGGGATGGCCATGTGACCAAAACCCCAAAAGGTTACATTCCTTAAGCCCTCAGCTCTCTGTTTTTAAAAAATATGGCTCGACCTCAGGAAACACACTTCAGCTAGAAACAGGAGGGATGGAAGCTACAGAAAGAACTTCCTGATTCCAGAAGAGGAGACCAAGGGATCTTTTCATCTGATAGATTTCTTTTTTTTTTCAGTTGGAGCCTCACTCTGTTGCCCAGACTGGAGTGCAGTGGCACACTCCCGGCCACTGCAGCCTCAACCCGCTGGGCTCCGGCGATCCTTCCGCCTCAGCCTTCCAAGTAGCTGGAAATACAGGCGTGCACTACCACACCCGGCTAATTTTTTATTTATTGTGGGGATGAGATCTCGCCAAGTTGCCCAGGTGGGTCTCAAACTCAGGCAATCCACTCACCTCAGCCTCCCAAAGCGCGGGATTACAGGCTGAGCCACCGAGTCCGGCTCATCTGATAGATTTCATCTGTGAATGGTGTTTTGGGGGCAAATCACTTGCCTGAAAGAAGAGATCCAGGCAAAGGGACCTTCTAAGATGCATTACAGCCTAAGCAGGATTTCTCAACTTAGCACTACTGATGTTTCAGGCTAGACAATTCTTTGTTGCAGGGTCGGGAGGGGTTGCTGTCCTGTGCATCGTGGGATATTTAGCAGCATCCCTGGCCTCTGCCCACTAGATGCCAGTAGTGACCCCGTCCCCCACCCTGCTGTGACAACTAAACATGTCTCTTCATATTGCCAAATGTCTTCTTGGGGGCAAAAATGTCCCCCACTGAAATCTACTGGCCTAAAGAACGTAATTCTTGAGCACATCTGAAAGAGTGATTTTTCAGAACTTTGCCTGGGAGCGCAGGATAGCAACAACTGTGAGAAGGGCTAGGGCTTATCAGAGGATCTGGGTTCACCTAACCCGGTCACCTTGAATGTGGGAAGAATCATCCCTACCCTCTGGTCATTGAGGAAGTGGAATGATAAGAGGAGGTGAGGTCAGCGAGTTCCTGACTCCTTGTGATTCCTAAGGTCCAGCCACGTATAGCGGGTAAGATAGCCCCTTGGAGTTGGTGGTCTGAGGCTTTCACATGAGAAGACGAAGATGTGAGAGGATGGGGAAGCTCTGCCCCTAGCGAGTCCCATCAGTCACCTTCTTTTTTACTTTTTATTGAAGCATAATATACACTCAGAGAAAAATGCACCCGGTGTACAGACTGATAAATGGATGACCATCTGAATTCTCAAGTTCTAATAGTGCCAAGGCCCGGGAGAAAGAGCAAGATGTGAGAAAGACAGAGATCTGGCACAGAGTGAGAAGGGGTGAGGGCAGTCAGAGGCCTGTGTGCTGGGTATCTAGAAAGGCCTGGGGTCCCAGAGGCGCCACCATGGCAAGGGGTGCCCTGACGGACAAGGGTTTAAAACAGTCCCACTTTTGGAGGGGTGGGGAATGGGCAGGAGGGAGGATGTTCTGGGTATGCACATGTGCACTTGAGGAAGGTGACCAGAGGAGACCCAGCAACACTCAAAGAATAAGAGGACAACAGCTTGATTCCTTGCCTGGGAAATCTGGGCGATTTAGAAGGGACAAAAGCTAGGAAGAGGAAAATATGGCAGAAGAATGGCTAAACATATGAGCTTCCCAGTAGGAAAGCTGGTAGAAGGAAGAGACCCCAGTGAGCTGTAGAATGCCAATCCCAGGAGATCTTTGAAACTAGCTGATGGATCAGCACTTCTGGTAGGGTTAACGCAGAAGCAGGAGGCTGGACGAGGAGACATTAAGACTTCTTCTGGCATTACAGGTCTAGGGAAGAATCAAGCTATAGCCTAATTTCCTCCAGTGAAATTAGGTTCAATTACTCAGGTTGCAATTACTCAGCTATGATGTGGATTGAGGAAAGGCACAAAAACCTAGGGTTGGCTTGAGCTACCAGATCTGGCCTCCTCCCTCCACAGCAACTCAGAGGACCTGGAGCCTTGAAGGGACACCAGCCAGCAGCAATGACAGCAACAAAAGCCCTGGTGAAATGTTTTTCTCTAGAACTTCTACTCTGGGTTATAAACACACCTTCGGCACTACCTGGGTGACTTCTCCCTCGATACAAATAGTGCTCTTAACGCACCAAACCCAGTCCCAGCTAACTCCTCACTCGCATGCCATGACTAAACTTCCTGGCTGCCCTTGGAATAACCAGCAGGAATCGCAAGTGAATGTCAAGCTGTCAGGGGGAAATTAAATGAGCACTCTGGTGCTTGCTGGGAGACTGTGTGGGCATCTGGAAAAGTCGGCTCTCAATTCTCTCTGCTAATGGGAGGAAATTGTAAAGAAATCAACAGAAGAATGGCTTCTGAATGCTCCACTCTGGTTTGGGAATATTCCATAGGCCTTGCTTGCAAGGACTGGAAATTTCTGTCTGGGAGTTCATGACACTGGAACCACTGCAGCCACAGGGTGAGGATTTGACTCAGGCAACTAGAAGCTGTCTAGGCTCTCTGTTGTACCCCAGTGGGAATAGAACTCTTCTAGCCTCTGACTGAAGAGAACTACTGTGTGTTCTCCGTCTATCCCCCTCATCTCCCTCTCTCTGATTATGCTCTAGCAAATTCTCACACCTTCCCCAGGAATAGGAAAAAAATAGAAGAAACAAGGGCTTAGGTTTCAGATATCTTTCCTTTCCAGCTCCTGCTGCACTTGTGGCTGGCATGTGGGTAGAGAGCAGGTTTCTATGGAGATAATGATAAGCAAAGATTTAAGTGCTCAGAGTAGGTAATGTCAACAAGTTTGATGATGGAAAAGCTGCCCTACTGATAATCTCAGGTTGACAACACCTCTGTGACGAGAAGCGCTGTCAGGTGGATAGCACAGGGCTCACCCTCCCTCCATGGCCCTCCCTCCTGCCCTGTCCCTGCGGTGTACTCACGTGGCCTCTTCAAACACACGCACTCTCTCACAGCCTTCTGGGGGCTCCCGCTTGAAGACATAGCTGTGATTAGGCCGAGGGGAGGCAGCAAAGGCAAGGACTGGAGATGGGCTTCCATCTTCGAGGGAGGCCAGGGGGCCTGGAGAGGAGGCTGTAGACAGAGTGGAGCTGAGTCCAGTGGAGGTGAAAGGAAGGCCTCACTTTTCCCAGCTCAGGCCTTGGGTGTAATGGGATGAGGCTGGGGGACATGTGGTAAGGGAGGTAGCAGTAGTTATGCAAATCCAGCTTGTTTGTTTCTATTCTATCTTAAAAACCTTTGAGGCAGCTTACAAAGTACACAACACATAAAAGAAATACAGCCAAACTGATGGAAAAGTAAGGTTCATACCAATTCTATATTCCCAGGAAGTAGACTAGGACCAGAACTCTAAATCTCAGACCCAAAGGAATCCTAAATGCTGTCTCTCTTTGCCTTCTTCCAAGACTGCAGCACCCTGCCTGCCAACATACCACAGCTTCTTCCTGTCCACAGTCTCGAAAGTCTATCCCTTCTTCCAGGAAGAGCTCTTCTCTGACTCAGAGAAGCAATCTTTACTCAACCCCACTTGTGGGATAAAATTCCTCTCCCTTTCCACACAGTGAATGTACTTTGCCTAGGCTGCAAATATTGACTTTATCTGTATTTCTCCTGCTTTTATTTCTTCTAAGTCTATTCTCTATTTACCTATGTGTATTGTTATATCATGCCCTTGGTCAGCCTACCTTGTGGGGTTGCTATGACAATCAAATCAGATGATACAGGCAACAGTGCTTTATAATCTAAGAATCATGATTAGGAGATGGGAATCCTATCTCATCCTCAGGGCACAGTAGAAAGCAGACATTTGGAATCAAAAAGTTTGGGTGGATTTTGGCTGGGCACAGTGGCTTACACCTGTAACCCCAGCACTTTGGGAGACTGAGGCAGGAGGATCACTTGAGGCCAGGAGTTCAAGACCAGCCTGAGTATACAAATGTAGTGGGACCCCATCTCACATAAATTTAAAAATTAACTGGGCATGGTGATACATGCCTGTAGTCCCAGCTATTTGGGAGGCTTAGGCAGAAGGATCCCTTGAGGTCAGGAATTTGAGACTGCAGTGAACTATGATCACACCACTGCACCCTAGGCCAGGTGAGAGTGAGACCTTGTCTCTTAAAATATAAAAGTTAGGGCTTTGGTCTGGGTCAAACTGTGTGACCTTGGACAAGAAACCACTTTTTCTTTTCTTTTTTCTTTTTTTTGAGTTGGAGTCTCACTCTGTCGCCCAGACTGGAGTGCAGTGGCCGCTCCCTGCCACCGCAGCCTCGACCTGCTGGGCTCTGGCGATCCTTCCGTCTCAGCCTTCCAAGTAGCTGGAACTACAGGTGCGCACTACCACGCCCAGCTCATTCTGATTTATTGTAGAGATGAGGTTTTGCCAAGTTGCCCAGGTGGGTCTCAAACCCGCGGGCTCAGGCAATCCACTCACCTCAGCCTCCCAAAGCGCGGGATTACAGGCTGAGCCACCGAGCCCGGCTGAGACTACTTTTTCTTAGTGTGTCACTCACAAGCACCTTGAAGCTTATTGCTGGGAATGAGCACAGTAGACACCTGAGCCGAGATTCACTGGCTTTCCCCTGCAGCTTGCCCTTGGCCAGCCTATTTCGTGGGGGAGTTTGAACCTCAGACAAGAAATGGGGATGGGAAGGACTGCCTCTTCGTATTCCAGTGAGGTCTAACTAAAAGTATAGGTGTGGAGACTTTTTTTAAAAAAATAGAGATGAGTTCTCACTACGTTGCCCAGGTTGATCTCGAACTCCTGAACTCAAGCAATCCTCTTGCTTTGGCCTCCCAAAGTGCTGGGATTACAGGTGTGAGCCACTGTGCTGAGTCAGGTGCAGAGACTTTATAAATCAGAATGTGATGTAAAGGACCATTATTATTATTGGAATAATGTACAGAATAAAGATGACTTATAAAGAAAACCTGGTTGGTTAGTAAGTGATAATGCCAGGCCTGAAGTTGAATAGAGGCAGAAGAGAAAGCAGACCCCTCCCCCACCCCCGCCTGTTCCCCAGGGTCAGCCTGGCTGCCTGGCCTTGCAGCTTACCTTTGTCATGGGGGGTGGATGCCAGCTCCTCCATGGCACCCCGGTGTTCCTCATGGCTGGCCCGGCCACAGGGCTGGGGGGATGCCAGAGGCATGGAGGGAGAGCTGGCAAGGTTGCCAGGCTCCAGGAGGAGAAGGGGATGATCACAGCTGCCACTCTGGGGAGGTGCTGGGGCACGGTGCCCATCCGGGACCTCAAGGATCTGACAGGAGGGGAAAGACTCTCAGCACTGCAGGGACCCCGAGACTGCTTCCTTGCAGTCCTCCAGCCATGATGCATAATGACAACAGAACACCATTTCCTCAAGTCGTGTATGTCCCTGGCCACCCCTCAATCTAGAAGACTTTCTCCTCAATTCTCTCACAGCACTCTGTTCTTTTCCCTAATAGCACTTGCAGTTCAATGTATAATTCCGTGTTCACCTGTATGACTTTATGTGTTGTGCCCACGAGGCTAGAAGCTTCATGAGGGCAGGGACCTTATACTTGCAGGGGTCTAGAACACAAAGATGAACAGTATATGTGGTGGGGGGGCACACAAGAAAGGCAAACTCCATGACCCTGTAGGTTGTAAGCCATTGCAGGACACGTATGCAGACGATGGCCATGCATGGAACATCCCACCCATCTTTAAAGACTCACTGGTGCTTGTACCTGCAGCTCACCAAATTGTGTGCATGTTTGAGTGTACATGAAATCCTGCATATGCTTAGATTAAAAATCTACTAGCAGGTAAATCATAAACTGGGGAGTGTGCCTATTTGAATTATATTAATACTGCCCAACTGGCATTCCCAGTTGTACTGTGTCAGTATAAAAATGTGCCTGAGACTGCAGAAAAGGTGGCATGTAATTCTGCCTGGGAGTGGGTAGGGGAGAAGGCTGAGCGGGGCAGCTGGGCATGAAGCCTGAAGCATGAAGATGTGCCACCAGGTAGAGATGGAGGGAGGACCGTGGGCAGCGGGAGCTGAGGGACAGGTGGTGCTGGAAACCATGAAGCTGGCAGTTCGACTGGAGAATGACACCTCACCTGTTCCTCCCCAATGGGGACCCTCCTCTGTCAGTCCTTGCTCCTTCTCTTTCCACAAAGCCCTCCCAGTGACACCCCATCTCTGCTGTCCCTGTGTGAAGTCCATTTGAGAGTGATAAACCCCACCTGTGTTCCTTTTGCAGGCTGGGGTATATATACTTCTGTTTACAGAGCCATAGCTTGTGAAGCCCCAGGTAACACTCTAGCCCCCCACATCCAGGCTCAGCGAGACACACTGTGGCGCTCAGGGCTGGCCACACTTACCCTCAGCAGCTCCTCTTCACCCTGCTCCTTCACAAACACCTCCTCCAGCTCTTGGTTGAGCCCTTCGAGGCTCCTGTGTAGGCAGGGGCTGAGTCTCAGGACAGGTGACCCTGAGGTGAGGCTGGGAGGGGATCCCTGGGGAGGAAACAGATGAAGCAATCACCTGAATCCCCACCAAGCCCCAGACAGTCATCTGTCCTGACCCAGGATAGTAGTCATGTCTACACAGCAGAACCAAGCAAGTGAATGGTGACTTGAAGACAGTCATGGATGGCAATAGGCCGACCTGCAGGGTTTTCTCTAATAGTTAGGCTTTGTGAGGTCTAGAGTGTGCTTTAGGGCCACTGCCTCAATGGTACAGGGCTGGAGGTGGAGGGGTAAGATACTCGGAACAGCAAGAAGCCCTTCCAGTGTCACTCGGCAAGTCCTGTCCAGACTGAAACTCACAAAGCACGCAGTGAGAAAGGGCTCAGGAACTGTAAGACCCAGGCGAGCTCTGCCCACCTGGGAACCTGCACGGAGGAGACACAGGGAAAAAGTTGGGGCACACATACCCTCAGTGCTCCCCGCACGGCGTGGTCCCCGGGCAGTGGGGAGCCCCGCTCCTTCTCTTTCCCCCCGCGGCTCAGCTTTGTCCTTTGCAGTTGTTGCTTCAACTTGGTAATCTAGCAGCACAGAGAAAGAGAGAGAGAGGGAGAGAGGGAAAGAGGGTGGGTAAAGCAAAGCAAAGTGTACTGGGTCCCTCCTCCCAGGTGTGGCTCCCGCCGGAGGCCCATGAAAATACATAAAAGGAAGACAGAAGTTCATTTTTCATCTCAAAATAACTCGTGATGTTAAAACCTGTGATGACAGCCTCTTTAGATAAGCTGGGTACCTCACTAACTAGATGGATCCTTTTCCAAAAAATTTAAAATATACAACACTGAAATCATTTTGTCTTTCACAGATTCCAAAGGCATGGACTACCACTCTATTAATAGCAAGGGAAGATGATGTTTCTGAATGCTGACAGCAGTTTGCTCCTCAAAGTACATTCACAACTATCTCAGTGCTCTGAAACCAGGAAGGGTGGAAATATTCTCCTTTATTTTAAAGTAGGCTACCCTAAGCTGAGAGCAGTAGCTCACATCCATAATCCCAACACTCTGGGAAAGCCAAGGTGGGTTGATCACTTGAGACCAGCCTGGGCAACAGAGTGACACCCCATCTCTACAAAATTTTTTTAAAAAATTAGCCAGGCATGGTGGTGCAAACCTGTAGTCCCAGCTACTTGGGAGGCTGAGGCCAGAGGATCACTTGAACCCAGGAGGTCAAGGCTTCAGAGAGCTATGATTGTGCCACTGTACTCTAGCCTAGGTTACAGAGCAAGAACTTGTCTCTAAAAAAAAAATACTGTTTTAAAAAAGTTGACTACAGGTTGGGCTTGGTGGCTCAGCCTGTAATCTCAGCACTTTAGGAGGCTAAGGTCAGAGGACTGCCTGAGCCTGTGGGTTCGAGACCCACCCAGGCAACTTGGCGAGACTTCATCTCTACAATAAATTTTAAAAAATTTAGCCAGGCATGGTAGCACGAGCCTGTAATTCCAGTTACTTGGAAGGCTGAGGCAGAAGGATCACCGGAGCCCAGCAGGTCAATGCTGCAGTGCCCAGAAGCGTGCCACTGCCCTCCAGCCTGAGTGACAGAGTAAGACCCTAACTCAAAAAAAAAAAAAGTTGA